GGAATACGACGCACAGTAACTACCCTTTCGTACAGGCCACTTCATGAAAGATTATTAGTCATGGTAAGTCTGTACAGACATCGCAGCATTTCGTAATGTACTCAGGCTTCTTTTTTTTTTAAAGGCACTGGGGCGCTTTTTGAAGCTTTTACTTGGCTCATCCCTTCCTCCATAGCTTTCACGGGGGCGATAAAAAGGGATGAAAATTGATTTGGCCAAGAAAAGCTGTTCGAGTGCCCCTCAGTGTTTACAGATGGGCGCACAACAAACTGCCAAACGGATGGAGGGAAGGACCTAAATGTGACCAAAACAGCTAAAATTCTTCCCAAAAAAATTCCAGATACATTTATATGATGTACATGACCACCAAAATTTACGTCAATCAAGCAAGATTTCCCTTATTACCGCATAGACCTGAATATTGCATTAACCTGGAAAATTTCCCTCGGGTTGGCGAGCCAGGCTGGTGCTCTGCAAGTTCAGAATCACAATAACATTGTTATTTAATTTGTCAATTCTAATTCAGCAGTTCTGACAGTCATCGAGAATAATGGAAATTATGTTTAAAACATATTTTATATTACTGCAAGAAATTTGGTCACTAGAGCTGCTTTATATGCCTCTATTTGTAAGAAAAGAAAAAAAAGGTTAACGAAACCTAACAATTATTTTGCAAGAGTACTGCGTTGATACTTTTCAGAACGTATATCACGGAAACAATACTGAGGCTGAGCTGATAATTTGGTTATGTTTTCAAATAAATGTGTAATATCCTATAAGACAAAGTTACCCAGAAGATATGGTTTCTAATTATTTTCTGAGCAGTAAAAAAAAGAAAGCTTGATTTTACACGGTGGAAATCAGCATTTTGTTATTAAGAGAGTTTTACAGATGGTTCGTTTAAGAGCTGGGAAATCATTCTGAGACCAAAAAAAAAAAACAACAAAAAAACCAACACCTCATATTGCCGAGTTAAGTGAAGTGTACCGTGTGATGTGGTTCTTCGTTCACAGTCAAAATATAACAATAAAAATATAAAAAAGCTTACGTAGCTGAGTTGGCAGGGCGCTGGGCTCACACGCAGGTGGCTTGGCTTCGATTCCTTGCTCTGCATGTTCTTTTACCTTTCTTTACGCGAGTCGAAGATTCGAGAAGGTTGGAGAGCCATCTAGCTTGTAGAATGTATTGTTCGAGACGGATCGAGACAGAATAGTCTTGGCTCCGTGGGAAGGCTCAAAAGAAGCCGCGCCGCAACGCATACAGTCCGACTTTTGCCTTCGCTCGGTTCTGCCCTTACGCCGCCATCGACGCTTGTTATCGTACGCTCAATCTTATTTTGTTTGGGCACAGGTAAGCCACATTAAACGTTTAGTTCGCTTAGGTGTTTCGTCGGCTCATCAATTGTCATTCGAGACAATATATTGGCCTCGCCTCGCATGTCATGCTTACGGGAATATCGGTTGCATACGGCTAGATTTGGCCGCTTAATTGAAAAGGATGCTTAATTGAATAAAAATGCAGATCAACAGATTAAACACAGAAAGAAATTTTGATGTTAAAATGGCAAGTCGTAAAATGAGTTCTATTCAATGAAAATCAAGCAACGCTAATCGAAGTCATCGCAGGTTGATTGCTGAATAAACGGTGGTAACAAAACAACCTGTGATTAGCGATACCGTCCGCTGTAACTGCCAAAAACAACCGGTCAGTGAACACCACGTAAAATAGTAAAATCCTCTTTACAACTTATTCTACCTCCGCGTAAAGTCTTAACACTCAGATGGCGCAAACGCAGGAATCGGGCTCGAGGCGGTCCCTAGCGTCTTTTGACGCATTGACTAGAACGAGGTCCAGCCGGCCGCTGACGCAGCACGAGTGCCCAATTTGTGTCTCCGCGTTCAATTTCACTTTGATGACGTGGAAATGCACGTTAACATATCTTAAACATCTATTAAACACAACGTAGAGGTAGCCCGATCTGACAGGAAGAAAAACTGAAAAGGAGCGTTTTGGAAGATCCAAGAGTGACAGTCACGCTCAGAGTAAACAATTACCGTCTTCATTCTTTTAAGAAGGCAAATATTTTACAAAAAGGTAGAAAGTCCCGCCTAGCTATAGCGTTAGGAAGTACTCTCTTTCAGCATTTATCGAACATCGACTCTGCTTCTCCATCTCGCTTACTCAACACAAAGGTTGACGAAAAAAATCCGCCTGGTCCGGGTATCAAACCCGGGACCTCTCCATTTCCAGTGGAGCGCTCTACCAACTGAGCTAACCAGGGGTTGGACGTCAGTAGAGCAAACAGGTTTATCACCTGCCATCAGTCTCTACACCAACAAGCATGAAAGGCGTATATTTCAAGGTTTGATTTTAATGCAATTAATTTCAAAGGTGCAAGCGAGCTGGTTCCGCACCAGTCACCTAGCTGTGCTTGGAGATTTGTGTTTGTCCTTTGTCCGTCTTGTTCCTGTCGGGATTATTTTCGTCATTCTTGTCCAACTCGCTGCACCTTTTCATTTAATTGCATTATAATCAGAAAGGTTGGTTCGCGAATTTTCATCATGTATGTATGCATCTCTCGAGCGCCGTCAGTTTAGGGGGTCATGGGGGAAAGAAAAGTGGTGGGGGGCCAGGGGGAGGGGGGGGGGGGGCGATCGTTCCCCCATACCTTTAGACTATATTAAGGAAAGGAGAAAAAAACATTCATGCCCCCTTCCTTCCCCCTCCCCCCCCCCCCAAACCCCGAACATCTCCGACGTCGCAGTAGCCCTGAGCTAACTTATTAAACTTCAAGTTATTGAGGTATATTGCTATTTGGCGCCAATATACTTGAAAAAACTTCTCTGATGTGCAACAACAGGTTGCTCAATTTGCACTTTCGTAGTTGAGGAAAACGCTTGACCGCCCATAATTTCAATGAGTTGATTTAATCTATAATAATAATAATAATCTTTATTTGGACTCCTTGAGTCTCAGGTGGAGGGGCAAAAGGTAAACAGATTTACCTGACGAGGCCCCACCACCCTGTACATTGCTCAGCAGAAAATCAGAACAGACTAGAAATGAAAACATGTAAAAACGACAATAAATCTTATCAAAAAATGTGTCACTGTGCGAAACGAAAAACGAAACAATCCTTCTACAGAAAAATGAATTATTAAAGTACAAACTGGCAGGGGAGCAATGAGCTTTCAAGCGAATTAACACAAATAACGGTGATCAGAGCCGATTATACGCTGTTCAACCCAATGCATAACCAAAACCCAATTTCCTATTGCAAAATATAACGTTTCATGTTGCCTTTGAAGGCAATAAGGGAAGTAGCATTCCTCATTAATTCAAAAACACTTGGATGATCGTTCAAAAGCTGTGGTATTTTATACGCTAGAGCTTGGGAGCCATAATTCGTCCGTATTTTGGGCTTTGTGTATATTTCATTTCTTAAATTATATTGTGTTGTTTTAGGGTGGTAGATGTCACAAAAATCATTTTGGTCACTGCTGTATTCGCGGTATATTATCATCGCCAGCTTTAAAAGAAAGAGCTGATGGATATTTAAAATTCGATATTTGACAAAATATGGGGCTGAATGATCGGTATAGTGAAGGTTTTCGATGCAACGAACAGCTTTTTTTTTTGTAGGCCGAATAGTCTGTCTAGATTTGTTTTTGTTGTAGTTCCCCAAACTAGTAAGCAATAATGTAAATGAGATTGCACAAGACTGTAGTAGAGTTGGCACTTAAGCCAACAGGGAAGGAGATGCTTAAGTTTATACAAGATTCCAATAGATCTGGATATGCTAGAGCGAATATGATTGATGTGGTCTGTCCAGCTTAAGGTTTCTTCGAAACAGACCCCTAAAAATTTTAGGGAGGACACTCTTTCTAATTCTGAGTTTCTAAATTGTACTGAGAAGTTACTACATAGTTGCTTATGCACAGGCTTGAAAATAACATATTTTGTTTTGTTAATATTCAATTCTATTTGACTAGACTCTAGCCACAGCGCAAGTTCGCGTAACCAAATGTTTGATAAGCCTTCTATTAAACTAAGATCCTTATCAGTAAAAAACACATTGGTGTCGTCTGCATAAAGTATAACATCTGGAGTTTGCGGAATGTTTACTATATCATTTATGTACAACAGAAAAAGTAATGGTCCCAGAATTGACCCCTGAGGTACACCGTAATTTATTTTCATTAGTTGCGATTCATACTCATTGATTTTTACATATTGTGATCGTCGAGATAAATAGCTATGAATTAGGTTCCAAGTTATCCCCCTTATGCCATAGTGCGTCAGTTTTTTAGATGAATGTCATGTTTAATCGAATCAAATGCCTTGCGAAAATAAAAAAAAAATTCCTACTGTATATAATTGATTTTCAAAACTATTAATTACCTTATATTTTATATATAGCAAGGCTTTTTCCGTAGATTTGTTTTTCTGGAAGCCATACTGTTGCTTTACAATTATGTTATTTTTTTCAAGGTAACTAGAAAGCCTAACGTTGATTACCTGCTCTAGAATTTTTGAGAATAAAGGTAGCACAGAAATTGGCCTATAGTTATTTATATTATTGCGTGGACCACCTTTATGTATAACGCAAACTCTGGCAAGTTTCATTTTTTCCGGAAATATACCAGTCAATAACGGTGTGTTACAGATATGTCCTAGAGGGGAGCTTATGAAGTGCGTAACTGCCTTAATCGGCATTTGAAACATTTGCAATCATTCATGACGTATTATGAGACCTATAGATTTTTCTGATGTGTTCCCATGAAAGTAGTTTAATATCCCTGTCAGACGGCGTTCGAAAGGTGCTTTTCACAAAGCTCCTTTAAAAAATCGGCCAATCAGGTCACGATGTTGAGTGCGCACGTGCGCAACGGCGTGCTCTGGTTCGCCGATTGTATAAAGGAGCTTTTTCCAAACGCCATCAAAATGCCCGTCTGACTGGGGTATAACAAGTTTAAACTACTTTATCGCTTACCACTTACCATCAATTGTCATATAGATAACAGTTTCTTGGCCTCGTACGTCGGAAGCAACATAAGCTGATCCGGTGAGTTCTCTACTGCAATGGTAGGTATCGTTATGGTTGTGGGATACCTTGGAAAACCTTAGCAGTGCTGAACGGTCTTTTACTCACGTGGTCTGGGATGAGTTAAAATACATTATTTTATAACGAATAGCCTTCTCACGAACAGCCCTCGCCGTTACTTCCATACCAACGCAATCGTATGGAAGGTACTGTGTTCCAAGCACCAGGAAATATATTCCATCTTGGTTAATGACCTGCAATAATAAAAATTATCACTTAGAAACTGCTCAGTATTATATTTAATTAGTATTATACGTAGAGTTCGTTGTGCGTTTGTTGCTTGCGTGTTGCGAATCTAATTGCGGCATGAAACAAGGCATTTATTAGTTTTTGAGAAAAAATATATTACTAACTGTTAAAAATACGAGGCATGTCGGATCAAGTATATGTTTTATAAATTACATACAAAGTACTAATCATTTTTGTACAATTAAAAAAATATTATTATTTCTAACAAGAAACAGAATATAGAAACTTATAAACTGAATACCGTGTAATGGGAAGAGTTTAACTTTTTCATATCGCCTGTTCTCCGTCGAAGGCGCACAAACATCGGCTCGGGATTATACCCTTTTTTGTTTTTTTTTCTTGATAGTTGTCGCGCTCAGTATGATTCCTATGTGGGATGCTACCAGACTTGTGCCGGTCACTTTAAAAATGTAATGGATTACAATTAAAAATAACCAAACCTTAAATGTAATGGATGACCGTTACAAATTTCTTTCGGTGAAAAGTAACGGATTACTACTCGTTACGTTACAAATTACTTTCACGTTACTTTTTCCACACACTTATAAAATATAGAAAACATTTTGATGTTTTCAAAAGCGTTCCGCAGCACCACTTTTTATTTCTCATACGCCTGTATCATGGTAGTCCTTGTAAAAAGAAAAGATTGTATTTAAGAGAAAGAGTACAGGTGAACTCCGTTCCCTTGTAAGCTGACAAGGCAGCGACAGCTGGAACAACAACCGCCATCCCACTTGCTAATGGCCTCCGGAAATCATCCCTGAAAGTCCGCAGACAAAACTGGCGGTGCGCATGCTCAGTAGCAGCGTCTAACTCCGCTAGGAGAATAGGAGGAAAGAAACCAATATACGAAAGCTCTCTTTTGAAGTGGACCCTTCAAGCGTTGGCACAACGTCTCAAAGCTGCGGTATCGCGCCTGTACCTTTGACGCACTGCGAGCTTATTCATCAACGGAGTATAGTGCATGCAGAACTGAAGAATGCATGGTCGCGAGCTCTTGTTTTCGAGCATTAGCCGAGCGGATGGCCGCACACTCATATTGCACCCATTTATGTATTATGCTCATATTTTAAAAAAGTAACGATTAACTAAAATATTCCGTTACCAAAAATGTTTAACGAAATTACATTACAAATTAGTTCCGCAAAAAAGTAATGATGCAATTAGAAAATTACGTGCAAAACTAACGTATTACATGTAATCCGTTACTTGTAACGGATTACTTCCCAAGTCTTGATGCTAGGTACGTGCGGTGGAACCCCTTGAAGTCCAACAGTCTTGACGTCGCGTTAACACCGAAAAAGCAAAATTAACTCTGAAAGCGAATGCTCACCTCCGAAGCATTCTGAAAGTACCCGACCTCTTTGGATAACAGCCAGGAATCGCCTATTGGACGAGTATTAGCCGCCAAGGGCATCCCCATGAGGGTGGCGAACAAACGAAGTGCAACTGCAAAAAGCTTCATCTTTGGGCTGGCCTGGAACACTTTGACGATGCGATTCTTCTTTTGTCGCTAAATATCGAGTCCATTTATATGCACCCATGGTTACATTTCGCAACTTTGTTTCCAGCAAAACAGACAAAAAAAAAAAAAAAAAAAAAAAAAAACTCCAGGTTATTGTACGTCTTATTATTCTTCGTGCTCTTGAAACATCGCAACCCCTAGAGTACTTTAGTCATGTCGAATATATTTATTTTCGAGTAAACCAAGAGAAGGATCCGAGGTTGTGCGAAGGAATTTCAATATATCCAAAATTTATTTGCGAGCCGACGTACCTTTAATTCATAAAAAAAATAAAGCAATACAAATAGAGTTATTAACTGAGGGAATTTCAAGCGTTCTTTCGTTCTCAGCCAGGACATATAAATAATAACAAAATACATACAGCGTGCCTGCACCTGCTTCGAATAAATAATAATAGTAAAAAAAAAAAAAACACGAATAGTAATTTCTTTGGTTATCAGTAGGGTTCTGTGTTATCGGAATTCATTTTTTCTCAAATTCGGAAGGTGTTTTTCGGAGTTTATTTTTTGCCAAAGATTCGGAGTTTATCGGAGTTTATATTTTTTTGATTCCCAAATCTCCGAAATTCAGAGTTTAATTTTGTTGTGTTTCCGATTACAAATAAATAAATAAATAATAACCGAATCTAAACGTATGCCAGATAAAATACAAAACGCGCTTGTGTCAACTGAATATCTTCAGTTGAATTTGGCGTTGCCACTGCCATTTGCAATACTAATTTATCCACAACAAAAGACACACACAAGTGGCGCTTCGATAAATGCCGATACCTTAAAATCAATAAACACTCGGAGGTAGTCGCTAGGAACCTCGCTGTCATCCCATCAATCTAGCCCGTGGCCGGGCGAGGTGGAGTGATTAAGGATGTAATAGAGAGTTTGAACTGCCCCTCTTCCCAATTTCATAGAATCCCTAGGGTCCACAGCTTTCACTGTTACTGAAACATACCCTTGTCTTTCTCTAAATCACAAATCGCATGGCCCAAACTGGAAACCAAAAGAGTTGCCTTTGTCGTGACCCGAATGTACAACGAACGACCTGTTTCCCTCAATCAACCTTGAAGAGACAAGCGGCAAGACCCCTCTTGACAACGGTTCGAGATTTGAAAGATAATTATGGTGGATTTTTCCCAGGACCATTGGCTCTGTGCTGATCAAACTGTAAAAAAAAAAAACTTTTTTTTTCTTTTGATCGGGGGGAAGGGGGGGGGGGGGGGGAGTGGCATTGACACATAAATACTTGGAGTTTATCAGATAAATCCGTATTGATCAAAATTTTACTGGCGGGTGTTTTTCGGATTTTTTCGAAAACACGGAGCCCTTGTTATCAGACATAGTAAGGAAAACCAAAACATTTACAATCGAAATTTTTTAAAGTCTTTCTTTCTGTTAATATTTGACAACGATCTAGAGGCCTACGTGCAAAACAAAATTGTTTACTTTCTGCTGATTGCACCTTGCGCAGTCACGATACTACTGTACAAGAAGGCTAATCGTACCGTAGAAAAGCTGTCCTATTTACTCACTTCTAAATTAAAAAAAATATCCAAACAGATAAAAAACAGCCTTCGTTATTTTTCAACGCAGATCAGCAAACTTTTAAAATAACTCAGATTGCGTTGGCCAGCGTAAACTTTATTCGAATCTACCATTTTTAGGTATTAATTTCATCAGCTAACGCGTAATTAAATGTCAGGATACTAAGAAGAGATATAGAAATGTACCAAATCTTTTATGAGCAGCAGCACATTTTTGTAACCATTTGAATGCTTCATGTTTACTTCACTAATGCTCACAGTTTGTACGACTTTTCTAGTTACAAATGAATATACAGAACACACAAACAATTACAAATATAACCCAGGATTCAGCACCTTGAGCATTCAGGGTGTGAAAGCAGTAAATTTAATTTGGCATAATCTTTCCTAAACATCTCAAAAATTGACCAATACCTCGAACACAGCAGAGCGTTATTATCATTTAAGCGTATTAACCAGGTAAGGTGTTCGTGAATCCGTCATACCCGTTAAAACATATAAAATACCTTACATTACTTTTCTCAAGCGTTATTAGGGAGTTTCAGATTTATGTACGCTATTTTAGCGCACGTTGTTTTGCCCTGTGCTCGTCCTTTACGCCGTTTATGTCGTTTTCCTTTGTCCTCGCAAGGGAGTTTTAGCATAGCGCTTCTGCGCAGCGACGCCAAAAACCCAACCACCTCGCGCTTGCAATGCCAGTAAGATACAGTAACAATTTTTAAATCGCACAAAAATGATGTAATGAAAAAAAAAGTTTAGCCTTTTTACTCTGGTAACGAAGGAAGACCTGCAGCGAAGCTGTACTATGGTGGGAATGAAGTAATGGCCGGGCGCAAGTCGGCAAGCCAGAGGGGAAAGGCTGGAAAGGTGGCACCATCTATGAGCGACGCATCCGTAAGTGGGAGGGACGCCGATGCTTCAAGCACGAGCAGGAGCAGGCTGTTTTGAATCATGCTTCTTCCATGAACGGCGTCATGACCCGTCTCCATCTCCCTGTGTTTGTGAAGATCAACCTTGCATTCCTGTGAGGACGATAACCAAGCGAACGTCGAGTCGGTTGGCGTGCGAAATCCGAACCCTTTCTGCACGCTTCGACCGAAACCGGAGAAGCGTTTCTCTCAGGCCTCGGTTCAAGGGCATCGGAACAGACGTTGCCCTCGGTGTGTATTGTCTACGGCGTCTGCCTTCCACGGAGGCGTCTGCGTTCCACGAGAACGCCAGACAGAATCCGACCCTGAATAGATGGGCAGTCTGTTGTGTCTGCGTCTACCCGTAAGACCAGACTTGTGCTCGTTACCGTTACCGAGCATCAAATGTAATGGATTGCCGTTACAAATGACTTTCGCTGAGAAGTAACGGATTACAACTCGTTACAAGTTACTTTCAAGTTACTTTTTCCGTACACTTATGCAGAAAACAATAGAACAAATTTTGAATTTTTTCAACAATATTCCGCAACACCACTTTTTATTTCTCATACGCCAGTATCATGGTAGTCCTTGTAAAAAGAAAAAAATTGTATTTAAGAAAAAGAGTACAGGTGGACTCCGTTCACTTGTTTGAGCTGACAAGGCACCGAAAGCTGCAACCAAACCTGCCATTCCGCTAGCTTGCGGCTTCCGGAAATGGTTCCTGGAATTGTGCAGACAAAGCTACCGGTGCGCATGGTCAGGACTCAGTAGCAGCGTCTACCTCCAATAAGAGATTCGGAGCTAAAGAAGCGATCCCCGAAAGCTCCTTTTTGACTAGGATGTTTCGCCTGTTATTTTTTTAAAATTATGTATTAAACCTCAATTGCCTCCGAAAAACGGGTATTATATGAGGGTAGTAGTACCAAACATACAAAACAAGATTTCTTCGGTGAATGCCTTGAAATGGGCGGGGTGGAGTGGAGCATGGCGTCGGTGGGCAGATCGTTCCAATCCTTTTCTGTCTGGCAGAACAATGAAAGAAAAAAAAAAAACGATGCGCAGTGCGGTGGACATGGGGGGGGGGGGGGGATCGACAGCTTTCTGATGACTGATGCGGCATGAAACACGGTGAGCTGGTGCGATAACAGAGCTGCCAAGTGATGGGTGATAAAACTTGTGAAAAAGGGAGAGCCTGGAAGTTTTGCGCCGTGATTCTAGGTTAAAAAGAATAGCTTGAGATTCAAGTGCGGTGACACTGCTATGATAAGAGTAGTCTGAGCAGTTGAATCTTGCTGCGCGATTTCGCACGGTTTCGAGCGTTTTAGTAAGATTAGATTGATGTGAGTTCCAAACAGCAGGTGCGTATTCTAGTTTGGGTTGGAGTAGTGAGAGTAAAGATAGTAGCTTTACCGATGGAGGGGCTAAGCGTAGGTTGCGACGTAGAAAGCAAAGGACGCAATTCGCATCATTAGCTATGTTCGCTATGTGAGATGGCCAAGTTAAATCGTTTGCAAAGGTAATGCCCGGGTATTTATATGGAGGTACAGGAGATATGAGTGAACCACAAAGGACGTAGTTAGGAGAGGGGTAGAATTGCCTACGATGAAAAGAAACGAGGGATGTTTTGTTAGCATTCAAAGACATTAGCCATTTAGCACACCAGGCCTCAATAGGGTGAATATCAGACTGCTGGGCGTGAACGTCAGTGCTGTTATTTATAGGACGATAAACAACGCAGTCGTCTTAGGATACGCGTATGTTAGATGAGATATTAGCAGGTAGGTCATTTATGTAAATTCAGAAAAGTAAGGGACCTGGGACAGTGCCCTGGGGCACTGTTCCAGGTCCAGGAGCAACCCGGGATTGAGGCGAGGAGTGTTTATTAGTATGAACGAATTGTTGTCGGTTTGACAAGAAGGTACGAATCCAGTTACAAACTTCAGGGCCGCGGTTTAAACGCAAAAGGTTTAATAAAAGACGTTGGTGTGGAACTTTATCCAAAGCTTTTTCGAAATGTAGAAAGAGGGCATCCACAGGTATGTCATAATCAGCACTTCAATTCAATTCAATTCAATTCAATGTTTATTTACCATTTTTTACAATGGCGGGGGCTGGGAAAAAAAGCTGCATGGACAGCTTGACGAGTTCCCAGCACCACAAAAGTTTCAGCAGCAGCGGCAATGCGAGTTCACACACAGGGTATACATATTAAAAGGAAGAAAAAAAAAAGATAAAAAGTTATACAATATTAGCTAGTGCACAGAACAGTGGATTTAAAACCAAAAAATAAGCAACAAAGCAAGTACAATACAAATGCAACTCAAGTGTAACCATATCGCTCGCAACACAAAAAATAAGACCGCAATTCTTTGGGTGAAAGACTCGTTATGTCTATGTGCTTTAGGGTTAGCATATTTAGCAACTTCGGGAGAGTTATTTTGATTCTCTGAAGACCATAGTTAGAGCGGGAGTTTTCAATGAACCAAGGTTCA